TTACCGAGCACAAAGCCTTTTCCTTGTTGGGACGTGAAAGCTGCGGCTGTATTTTTTTTTTTTCCTGATGGTTCCTTCCCCACGGAAGAGGGGAGAAGGGGCTTGACCCGCTCCGAACAGAAAAACTCTTTTTTTTTTTTTTTTTTTTTTTTTAAATTTTTGCTGGCACAAAGAGCAGGAGAAAGTCCCTCTTGGCTTTAAATAGCTCTCGAGGTTTCCATAGTAAATTTTTTTTCTGATTTTGGAGCAACGGGAGTTTGAGGTAGAGGGAAAAGAAAGGAAAATGAGAGGGGGGGAAAAAAAAAAGATAAAATCTGGGAATGTGATCCTGGTGGGAAATGTGCCTCCTGGAAAAGGGGGGGAGCTCCTGCAACAAGCCTCCTCTGTTCCGGAGATCCCGGAGGATCGCTCTCGTGATTTATGGGCAGGACGCGGGGCGGGAGGTGGCGGCTTTTGTCGAATGCCAGTGAGGGGAAAAGAAAAAAAACAAAACCAAAACCACATTCCGCCGTGACGCGGGGCGGGAGGTGGCGGCTTTTGTTGAATGCCAGTGAGGGGAAAAAAAAAAAACAAAACCACATTCCGCCATGTGAAGTACCTCGTGCTTCCGAGCTGCTCCATGCAGAATTTTTTCGAGCACATGTACTGTTTTCCTGCTTTGTCCTATTTCTTTGAAATTGAAAAAATAATTTCCAAAGGGTTTATTTCCCCAGCTGCTTGGTTTTCTGTCCCGGGAGGGTTTTCAGACGCCATACAGCGCTCCATCGTTCCGAGCTGGGTTGGAAATTCCCCCACCCCGGTCCAAGAGAGCCGGGAATTTGGGGAGTGGGACCCTCGTGAGCCTCGACCGTCGGGTTGGGCTGAGCCCGAGCCCGTGCGTCTTCGTCAGCTTAACCAGGGCGTCCGCCGCGTCCGCTGGGAGCTGTCGCTTTGCTCGGCAAAAATAAATCCCCGAGAAATGCGGGGTTTGGGGAGCAGCAGAGCTCTCACCGGGGGGAGCCCCCGAAATCTCCCCCTCCCCAGCAGCTCCCGAGGGAGGCAAGTTGCCGGCAGCGGTCGCTGGAATTGTCTGAAACCTCCGGGAACGGCTCCGGTTTGTTGATTTTTAGGATATTTAAATTGATGCAACATGTTTCGAACGGGTGGAGGCGCACGCTGCCTTTTCCCTTCGGCCACGACGCGTTTTCAGATGGATGGTATCTGTTGGTACGTAGATTTTTTTTTGGGGGGGGGCCAAATATTCCTCCTTTTAAGCCAGCTGCCTTGCCGGTTCGAATCAGCACTTGGTTTGTTTTCTGCTGCAGTGAAATTCAATTTGCTTTGAAGGATCAGAATTTTTATATTTCTTTGTATTTTTTTGTTTTTCCTGTGTGGTGAAGTCAATAAATGAATTTCAGGAAAAATAAACGAGGAGTTTTCACCTTTTTTTTGGGGGGGTGCGTTCTTTTCACAGTCTCTATGGCAACAAACTTTTTTGGGGGAAGAAAATAATAAAAAAAAGGTTTTCTAACAAAACCAAGAGGATTTGGGGTGAGTATTTTATGTTCAAATCTTGGGGGGGGCTCAGTGTGCAAAACTGGCCCCGTTTTGCCCACCGAACCCCGCAGCCGGAAGGAGGCGAGACAGGTTTCAGCCCTGAGCGGATTCGGAGGGTTTCCAGTTTGGTTTGAACTGGTCACCCAGTTCCCCGTGACCGACTTGGCCCCTCGCCCCCGGGAGGAGGATATTTTAGATCTGACCTTTGGGTGGAATTTAAACTGATCAGACCTCTTGTATTTCTTCTTTCCCCCACAGGAAGGCTCCCAGCAGGCTCCCAGCTCCTCCGAGCAGCCCAGACTGGGACAAACTGGAAAAGTAAGAACCCCACGGTGCCAATTCTGTGCCCCCCCAGCCCGGTGGGACACCGCTGGCCGACCAGGAGAGGGGAAGAGAAGGTGGTGTGATCAAAAACGGATAAAGGGCAGAAACGTTCTCCTTTGCTCCAGTTTTTCCAGAAAAGGAGAAAATCCGCCCTCCTGCCCTCTGCTCCGACTTGGCCGGGGACAGGCGGGGACAGAGGGACAGCCATGGGTTGGGCTGGAGAGAGGTTGGAGGAGGGGAAAAAAAAAAATAGGGTGGAGGTGGGGGATGAAAATAAAAATTTGGCTTCACGGGGGATTGTTGGAGTGAGTGCTCATCTGAGTTTTCCTACGAGGAGGTGAGAGCTCGGGTCTTTAGGGCGATTTCCTGAAAAAGTCAAAAGTACAATAAAAATCAAAGTGACTTAGAATAAAAGTGACTTAGAATAAAAGTGACTTAGAATAAAAGTGACTTAGAATAAAAGTGACTTAGAATAAAAGTGACTTAGAATAAAAGTGACTTAGAATAAAAGTGACTTAGAATAAAAATTAATTACAAAGGAATTTTGCCCCAAGAGCTCGTTGAACCCCCTGCCTGCTTCCCCCCTGCTTTGAGGGCGCTGTGAAAGTCTCAAAATTATTTTATTTTTACAGGTGGAGGGAATGTGGTGGGGAAGGAGCAACTCCGAAGGTCCCTCAAGGGGTGAGAGGCGATGGCGGGAGCATCCCATCCCGTGTGCCGGGACGCAGTGAGTGC